CCCTCCATTAGAATTATGGAACGGAGAAACCAATTACCGCCACTTTAGTTTTCCATCCACTGAAATCCTTAGGAGTTTCTTTTTAGTGTTCTTCATTGATAAGAATGCATGAAGTGCGTATTATCATTAAGAGGCAGTGATCCGCAACAAACTTGGCCGATTGTCGTCTCCATATTTGGAAACTGTTTTACCACTTCGAATTGCACGAAGCACATACTACACAAACTACGCTGATTGATAAAGCAGGACAGAAAGTTAAGCCTGACACTTTAAATGGAAAATGCTTCTCCGTAAAATTACAGGTGTCGTAATCCAATTAGATGAATGTATGACGATATGACTTATGTACATTTTAACCCACCAATAAATGTATGAATGCGTATTTCATAAACATTATTTGTCACCAAGTATAAAAATGTGCATTTGGACGACGGGGGGATTAAGATACATGCGTTGAACCTAAATTTGGAGAATGGGGAGTGTGAGTAACATGGGGAGAACCTCATCATATCTGCTGCCTGATCGGATAGAAGGGTCGTCATTCGATATTCTATTTCGTTTCTTTTATTCGCCTGTTTCAACTCCTCAATCACATAAAGTGATCCATTTCCTGGATCCAATCTCGGAGTGCCAATGTTCCCATCGCGTCCTCCCCCACATGACGAGTTGCCAAGATCAAAGGGTTTTCTAAAAGGAGAGACAGAGAGAGGTGTGAATTTTTAATAGATCGGCATGTTTCAGAGTGAGAAAGTCATTCCGCAAGGGAGCGTCCATAAATCACATGATCGATCAGAGGGGGGGGGGAGGGGTCTGAAATTTGTCACCTATTATCACCAAGGGGGGGAGGTAATGGCCGGCCGTCACGTGACATGCCACGAAAAAATTTTCTTTTAACTTCGGACGTAAATAGTAAATTTGATAATATGTATTTACTTAATCGTTAACCTCTTTTATCTTAAATTCGAATACGGCGTATTTTTAAATTTTTAATTTCAGTGCACATTCATAGAACTCTCATTATTCTTTCAGATAATAAGTTTACGCAGTTGTCCTTAAGATGTCATGAATGTTAAATTACTCAGTAATATTAAAATTTAATTTAACTGCGGATTTGAAATGGCCCAGGGATATTATTTTTGGGTTAATTTGTGTCATGTGTTTTCCTGTCGGAAATAGGTAAGTTTGGCGAAAAAACTTTTTGCGAAAAGAAATCCGCCACAAAAAATCACATTTGGCGAAAAATAGGTTTAATGTGTATCCTGTCACGTGACCGCGGGGGGGGGGGTAATGAATTTATCACCATTGGTCACCTCGGGGGGGAGGGGGTCAAAATTGTCCAAAAATCGATCACGTGATTTATGGACGCTCCCCAACAACAGCTTTGAATTACAACTAGATTAAAGCACAAGTTATTGTGTTTGCCGTAGAAATAGATTATAAAACCTCAAGTTTGGTCTCACAATTTTGCTCAACTTTTGAAGTGTAAATTTCCCTTTGCTCAATATGAAAGGATAAGCTAATGTAAAAATGATAAGGAAATTACAAAGATTGAATATGACAGCTTCAATAAATAATACGTACAATTTTTTGTTTTAAAATGACATGATTTTAAACAAAACCTTATGTCGTCTCTGCATAAAATATTAAACTGAAATTGCAAAGATTGTTTTCCCTTTTTCTTACATTTCATTAATTAAGGATACTCATAAATAACGCAAAGTCAAGTTTTTACTGTAGATTCTTAATGAAGTGACTAATTATTCAACATGAATTGAATGAGAAGTAAAGTTTAGTACTCAAACAACTTGCAAAGAAATGATTGAATGGGACTAAATTACTAAAAATTAAGTTTTGAGTTCATGCATGTTCGTTCAGTCCAAAACGAAATGTTGCTGTTTTAAGGCAAGAAGTTGTACAAGTTGTATGAGTTTTCTACAATTTGAGAGAAACAGTTTAGTTTTTCGCTTTAATTACTGCAGAATAAAAAGGCACATAATTCAAGCCTTAATCAAATTAAGAATGTGCATGACCCTCTTAATTAAACTTTCAAGTTCCTATTAACTTGCGCCCTCCTCCTCCTCGTTGTTCTCCCAAGGAAAAAATCATGAAGTGGCAAAAGCTCATTTATACAAAACTGCTTCGTTGTTATCACCCAGTTCTAAATCGTCGCTCCTCAACATTTTTATTCCTCGCCGCTCCCGATGTTGCTTGCTCCATATTGTTTTAATTTGATGGGATATAATTCAAGCTCCCTTATTTTTCCGTCAACTGTGGACCAAAAAAGAAAGAAAGCCCTGAACAAAGTAAGTGCAGGAATATTTAATTTTTACTCCAATGACGGAGAAAGGGTGGAAAATAAAGCGTTATTTTCACGTGCCGCTTCCCTTTCGTGGCAGCTCGTGCATCACAATGCCTTGGCTGAACTCGACACATTTAAATATTGGAGAGTTAGGTCAAGTCAAGAATACAAAATTAGATCAGGTTCTCGGCTTTTGATTGCTATTCAAGTGCTCAATTACTTATACTCTCAATACTCGGGGTGGAGGTGAGAAGTATTATTTCCTCTCCCGTCGTAATTCTTTAATGCACCATTCTCCTTCTTTTTTATGAGCCTGGCAAACGCTGTTGTTTCGCTTTCAACGCGACACTTTAAGCACGAAATATACGTATATATCACACGGATTATAAGACCAAAGATTACAGCTTTTACATAATGGATATATGGTATTTGAGCATGTAGGAAAAGGTGTGGGCCCACTGGGCTCATAATCGTTCAGGATTTTTGTTATTTGAATGTATTTCGTATTTAAATTTGGATTTAATGGTTTTAATAGCTCTTTGTCAAAATAGGATGAGACTTGACCAGTTGAGCAACACCCAAGCATTGTACGAGATGTAATGGGACATCTAATTTTTTGATGATCTTAATCCAACACTTAAAAAACCTGAGATTGTTTCACCCATGCAAAGCACAAAGTATTTCAAGTTAACGATATTTGTGTGAACCATTTGATAGGGAAAATAATAAGCGGTGCATTTAATGAGAGAGCTGGTTGCGGGATGGTTCCGTCTAAAAGTGGGAGCAGGGGAACTGAACGAAATTGAACAAGATCATTTACATGCAGTCAATGGTTTTTAATTAGAGTTCCAACTTTTTTTCGGGTTCGATTATTTCATGACTTGACTGCAACAGTGAACGAGTGAAGCTTGATATTGCTACTCACTGAGCAAGCCTTTAATTAAAAACATATCGCATTTTTTTACATGTTATTTCACGGTACTTCAATGTGTACGCAATAAGAATAAAATAGTTCGACAAGTTTTTCTACTCCTGTGGAAAACACACTAGAAAAAAATTTAGTGTTATTGCATAAAGAAATTAAATAGATTATACTCTTGTCATTAATTTGTAATTGGTCGACATTCTTCTTCCCTCGCGGAGAATCAGCCAAGTGGAACGAATAAGGAGGGTTTATTTAAAATAAATAAAAAATTGGCTGCCAGGCATAAATTTGCAAACAAACCAAAAAATATGCAACTTCAAACGGGAATTAATTGGAAGATCTCAAAATTCAAAGGAAAGCAGTGATTAACTATTCAAATCAGAGCAGTGAGTGGTGAGCAAGGAATATTTGCTCCTTCCAAACTGGTTCTTATCCCAATCTGTAGTCTGAGAAAACTGAATATGTGATCAACTCGCTCATGCAAAATCTCATGTTTTTTAGTTGCATCTTTTTAGTGCTTGTCCATTAAAGTCCTTTTATAATTTTCAAACCCAAGATTGCGCAAAAATAAAGTGGAATCCAATTTTACATGGAATTTAAGGTTTTCAAGCAGTAAAATAAAACAAGTATATGTTTTAACCATGAATTATTATTTGCTGAATTATATAACACATTTTTCCGACAGAAAGATCTGTTGTTTTTCCTCTTGAGAGTCTTCTTGCTATCTCAAGCAGTTTAGATTTTGCGTCTCAATCAATTATTGTCAACAAAAATTGACTTGACATTGACAAGAAATTTTGAACCGATGCTTAATGTTTTGATGTCTTGCTGCGCTGGTTTTTTCTTATTTTAAAGTCTAGTTTGTTTTGACGGGACAGATAGAATGCAATGTCTGCTGGGCTAATGCACTATTTTATATGCTTGTCTTGGGTGAAGGCAAGCCTCGGTGTAGTCGACATACATATTGTACATAAATATGTACATATATATTTAAGTAGCTGACGGGACTTTGAACGAGGTATTGCACATCAGCGTTCGGTATCTAACTAGAAATTAATACCAGGCTAGCCGAAAGAATAGTTAATCACATGTGGAAGGTCAAGACTCTCGTGATTCAACGAATACTGTAAGCCAAAAGGTTTCCAGTAAAGGAGCAGATGTGAATAAAAGGTTGTAATGTTGCATTCTGTCTTTTGACGGAGAGACAGAGAGAGAGGAGGTGGAAAGTTAAGGTAGAAATGTACACAGGGTATAATTACCAAGAGCTGTTGCACTATAATAAATAAATTAGGATGTATGCCAAACCATAAATTAGCAGGAATTTATTGTAAATTAATATCATAAATCAATAATCAAATCGTACAGATCATTTCATGAGAAAGTGGTAATTGATTCGCGACAAAAACTGGTAGAAATGTTGGAATACTGTAAATTTTTGCGGGCAATTATTGTAATAGGTGAAGATGTGCAGATCAGCGATTTAAAGGAGTAAACTGTTCCACTGTAGCATTCCACACGTCAAAATAATTGCTACGGGGCATTTTATAATGATTTATTTCACTACCTCAATCAAAACTAGAACCAGACCAGGCTGTACCTACGTTCAGATGCATACCTACTTATTAAACCGTGCTGTTTGTGTTCCAACGGAAAGGTCAATACGACATGTCTTGTCTGCATTTGCACTTTGTTGTAAGGAGTAAAGTCAAAACAAAATCAAAACCAAACCTTTATTTGTGAACGTGTAAGTTAATTCGTGTGTTTATGTTCTTACAGAATCCAGAATAACTACGACCAAAGGTTTCAACCCACATCCATTGCCATGCCGTAAGTGTACATTTCTCTTTTTATGGCCAAAGTGACATCCATCAAAGAATCTTAACAAATCAACTGCATTTGGAGAGGCCTCCAACGCATTTGTGGTTTATCTGAAAGAACTGTAAACTACATGTTTTAAATCTCAAATATTTAAAAAGAGATAGTGCTGCTGCTTATTACTTTGTTGGTTTGGTGAATAATTCAGCAGCCGCCTGGTCTCATTCAGTCTGACTTGTTTCAGTTTCAGCCCAATTTGCATAGTAATAACGAGGTGCTGATGAGGAACAAGTAAATCCCTAAAGCATTTGCATGGAAAAATCTGAAAAGTTGTACGAGTCCTTTCATCGTCATCATCATCTCTGTAATAAGAAATGTGCTCGTGCTTGTCCGTGAGTGACGAGATGTGAATCATGCCAAAACAAAATGAAGATACCAACTAATTCAACTAATATCCAGTCTTTCTTCTACATGTTTGCAAGCCAAGAGTAGTTCAGGCAGTAGCGGAGAATAGATGTACCAAACTACATACAAAGTACGTATGGTTAGTGACAGTGTGGTAACAAGAGGCTGGTCATGAATACGTTGATATGGGTTTCAAAGAAATCAAAATTCCATCCCATCAGACAAAGTGTAAATGCGGAGGAAATATTTTGTGTGAAGGGTGAGATTTTGATTTTAATTTGATTCCGAACGGAATGAACGAAGGAACTGTCGGCTTTTTACCAATCTGAGAGAAAGGAGTGAATATATCCCTGTTTGGTGGGAGCAAAGGATTCCGTCAACATCGGATGTCTTGTCTCATTCTCAACGATGAACTCACTTCACGCCTCTTTTATGTTCTTGCCTCTCTCTCTTTGATGCTGCTGAGGTTTCAGAATAAATAAATTTGTGGGGATGCTGAGTGTTCGTGTTGCGTGAATGTGTGGTGCCTTATGTCATGGTGTTATTATTTATTATGAATGACATCATATAAATATGTACATACTTACATATGTATGCCCCTCGTCAAACCATCTCTCTGCCAGTCAGCTCAACAAGGCATCGTCGCTGCGATCGTCATTTGCCTTCTTCATTAATCTGTCTCTGGTCGGTCCACGTCTTATTATAATGAAAAAGTGTCGGAGAAAAATAAGCGAGATTGAATGACGAGGCCAGGAGGTAAATAGTAGGAACGAAGAGTGAAGTGACTTTAAAAAGCAAGTGGCGTATGACTATTATTAGCCAAAAGGGTAATATACAATTAATTATATATGTACGTACTTACTACCTATGCATATTTTACTTTAGTACAAAATCGCAGTATATTCCGCGTTGGCATTATTTTTATGCAGTCGATCTCTCAGGGTGTTGCTCTCTTGTAGGTAAAAGCGTATCCCGAGCTGAAAATATACTGGAGGACGATTTGTCCGGCAAGGGTGGAGTGGAGGGGAATATCTATCTCGGCTTATAAATCATGCCGACTTTTAAATATACTGGGATGGATATATGCATGCACCCACTTCAGGAGTGGTAGTAGTAAGTCACACAAATCCTGGTTGAATTATGAGCCACGAGACATTGTGATCCGAAATCTTGTGAGCACTTTAGTTTTTCTGCTGCTCTGGAGAAGAGCAGCCGTACGAGATTATGATGAGGTTGTATTATGAATGCATTAGAAAAATCCACTTATTCATCTCATTTCTCCCAAAGGCTGAAGGGCATCTCTCTTCTTCCTCTTACTACACTACGACTCAAAGATTAATGAGCACAAGCCCACCCCTTCGTTTACTTTTTTATTACGGTGCTGCTACATTTCTGCTCGCTGATCGTTGCATCAGACTCATTTCGTTTGTTGGTGGTTTATTGATCTTTTTGAAGTGAAGCGATTAATGGCTTTGGTTTTTGTTCCAATTTAATTTAATTTCGAGTTTGGATGACTCCCACAACAAAAAAAATTCGAAACTGCTCACTCACAGAGATTTAAAGACTTTGAAACCATTCATTCATTTCGTACGTACACAATTGTGTTCCTTCTTATGGCTTTGGAAGTGCGACCACTTTCCTGGAATCCTGACTTGGAATACCTCACAGTTGCTGAGGTATAAACACAACCGCGTCTTGAACAATGCTCACACTGTTTGAGTTCTGAGTGGTGCATTGTTTGCTAATCAATTTCACTTGCAAAGCCGTGCCTACTTGCGTACATACCATTGACCATTTTGCTGTTAGGTGGTCGCATTAAATTACACTGTCCGTTGGTACAAAGACGTATCATTGTTCCATCTCTCACAACAACCTCGGCCGGCTACCACATTTGATTTGCTACTCACTCGCTAAAATTTGATAACATCTTGATTTTGGAAGACAAATCAAATGCAGTTGCAGAAGCTTGATTGATGTCCCGATACCATCTGCTTTTATGCGGAAGGATGTTGAACATGGAACTTTTAGCGGATGATGTACGATGCACGATGATAGCTTTCTTGGGCAATGCCAAAACGGTGTCACTTGTTTCGTATTTTCTTCATGCCACTCCACCACGGCGACGCTACTTCATACGAACTATTACGAACCAACTACCCGCTGCTACCTGCACATCAGCCGAGTCGGAAACATGTCCTGTTAAACTTTGTATATAAAATGCCCATTATATTATTGTAATGGGCGATTGCCTTTGCATCATGACATGCTAAGTGGGCGCGGGGCAGCGTTTTAATTTTGTTTACCATGCGTGGAATGCAATCTAAACCATTTTGCAAGTCATCAATTCGATTGAACATTCTCGAATTCAACGATGATCTCTGAGTACATGTGATCCGAGAAGGGTGGTTGCGTGGTGGGAGCTGTTGGTCATCAGGTTGTCCTGAAGTTGACCACGCTGGTGGCAAAACTTCAAAAGATGCTATCAACCCATGATTGAATATTCCAAAAAACAGTTGCGTTTCAAAATGCCCCATCTCCAAAAGACATGGTGTATCATTATTACTTGAAATATGCAGCTATACATTTTATATAGCTGAGAGAATTTTTTTTGTCGAAATGTTGGCGTAAATAGACTACGATGCGCTTTGACTCTTGGAATCTGAAAGTAATTTTGGCCATGTGTTAGTTGATGCAGGATATCACTCATTCAAATACCGTCTGAAAGTGATATGGGTGAAAATTCGGGAGGAGGGTGAAAGGCCATTCAAGATTCCATCCAAATAATAAACTCTACTTTCTCCGGATATCACTTCGTACGCTATGTTGAGCGAAGGAGGGGAGGAGTGAGGACCCCTACCGGAAATCTGACTACACTTGATTTCTCTCCTTTTTCGGAAAGACTCCAGGGCAGAGCTGATTCCCGAGTTTATTTCAGCCGGGACGATATTCCCTCCGTCAGCCAGGCAAGATCGTCACTTAGAGAGAGGAGTACAAATTCCGTTGGAAATATTCATCGACTGGTATTGTTAACTCTGTTTGACAAGCGTGTCAAAAGTGACCCGATAATTTGCAGTGTAATTAGTATGACTTGTTTGAGTACCATAATGGTAGGTAAGTAGTTATGGACCAAGATGACGCTTATGTACAATTGTCAACATATAAGTGTGACGCCAGATAAGTGAATTATGCTCGTGTACATGCACATGCATATGTACATGCCATGCATGTCTACATACAAAGAACGCTCGTTAAACAACCAGAGCCAATCCTTTCACACATTTGCATTAAAAGTTAGATCCTCTTTACAAGCAAGGACAATAAAGTGAGTGTATTAACAACTTCTTACTACAGGCTGGCAAACAAATATTGTAATTATCATCAACACACCTTCCTGCAACAAAATTGTCAACACTTGAGACCAATTGTCCTCCAAGTAACACAGGAGTACGCCAAGTGTCAAAAATCTTGTTCATCCTCTCAGCTTAAGATATGTTCAAAACGAACAATCTTTCTTAGTGTTCAGATCAAACTTAGAGCTTATGTACATTGTTGTGGACAGTGCTGATGGTAATAAAACACAGTTTGTCGTACGCCTAATAATAAGTAAATCTCATCCCATTGTTGCCTCATTTGTCAGCCTGAGAAATGTTGCGTTGGTTCTTTAGCTCCGATATATGTATTGAATGGTGACAAGACAAGATGAGGGTGCGATTTAATACACACACAAACAAAAATCTTTTCGAAGCCTGTTTGTAGCTAAGGAGGTGTAAATGTCAACTGAAGAACTTGGGAAAACAAAGGTCGTGTGTGCTTCCTGAAACAATCCAATGCAAATGAACGCCACTACTCACTCACTTCCTCGCTTTATTGGTTGGCTGTTTATTACAGGTTCTGAGAATCGGGCCTGAATTGTTCTCCTCATTTTCATCCATCCATCCTGTCAGTGAGTATTGCACAACAATGAGGAAAGTCACATCATTGTCACTGGGTCATTAATTTTCCTTTATTTGACTGGAAGTGTCAATGGGTGATGTGATGAGATGTGTAATCTTCCTCCACGGCGCCCTTCTTATTTAAGACTTTGTTCATTTCAGTTGAAATGGGGGCTTGACAATCCACTTGACACTTCTTGCTGCTAGTAATCAACAATACATACGGTGCGATGCGATGAGTGTGACAGGTTTGATGGGTCAGGGTTGCTGTTGCGATACATATCGTATAAATTCTAAATATCGTCGGGTACATGAAAATAATTTATACTTTTTTTCTAGTCGTTTTATTTAGTAAACCCCACCAAAATAAATCACCTTTAATTTATTAGATGTGCGAACCACAAATTCCAATTAGACAAATACAAATGTAATAAAAATTGTGATATAATATTGCTATTTGTGTCATATATGTATAAATATATCATTCCTCTCGACTTTATTGTCAACACTTTTCCAACTGTGAGATTCATTTCATTGACGTAAATCTCGAAAACAATCAACAATGGGGATGTGCTGTCAAGTCACCCAAAAAGCAATGCTAAATCGTGAGTCAAGGAAATAACAGAAATCGTAGGGCGACGGAGATGGTGATTCTCATAATCCTGGACACACGCA